AGAGGCTTGAGGTTTTCTAAATCACCCATTGCTGCTACAAACTATAACCCCATTCGAAGGTACAAGCACTTTAGGGTTTCAGTCCAGAGTGGGAGGTGTTGCCAGACTTGGACACGGTGCTGATCTTGTCCACCTTCCATGACAAACACAGCTGTACCTCTTAGCCACTTTCTTTCTGGTCTGTGCCTTCACTGTAAAACTGGCTTCAAAAGCTGGCTCACCTCTATGTGCATTAATTCCCTCCCTAACCTTGGTCCAGAATTCCCCAATATTTTATTAGAGTGAATATCTTATCCTTTTGAACCTTTTAAGGTTTTCAAAAAAATTTCACCCTGTTAAGAGTTGCTCACCTAGGTCACTCAAACATTATCAGAGCTTTTTTAAAGTTGCTTTATAAACAGACTTTCAGCCAATCCTCTTGTTTTTAGGCTCATTTCTACCTCAAATGCCAGGTCATTTTATTTTATTTTTTTTTGAGACAGTCTCACTTTGTTGCCCAGGCTGGAGTGCAGTGGTATGATGATGGCTCACTGCAGCCTGGACCTCCCGGGCTCAAGCAATCCTTCCACCTCAGCCTCCTGGCTAGCTGGGACTCCAGGCATGTACCACCACACCTGGCTAATATTTTTCATTTGTGGAAGAGACAAAGAAGTCTTACTAGGTTGCCCAGGCTGGTCTCAAACTCCTAGCCTGGGGCAATCCTCCTGCCTTGGCCTCCCAAAATGCTGGAATTACAGGCATGAGCCACCATGCCTGGCCAGGTTATTTTTAATTATATATTTATGTATTCATAACTGTTACTAAAGTTAGGACTTCAAAGTGTTACATAAAAATAATCAACTGCTAAATTCCTTAAATATGACATAAAAAATGGTTTTGCTGAACTCAGAACAACCATTCAACCCAGCAATTCTATTATTGGGTATATACTCAAAGGAATATAAATTGTTCTACCATAAAGACACATGCATGTGTATGTTCACAGCAGCACTATTCACAACAGCAAAGACATGGAATTAACCTAAATGCCCATCAATGGTAGACTGGATAAAGAAAATGTGGTACACATACACCATAAAATACAATACTATGCGGCCATAAAAATGAATGAGATCACGTCCTTTGCGGTAACATGGATGGAGCTAGAGGCTATTATCCTAAGCAAACTACCACAGGAACAGAAAACCAAATACTACATGTTCTTACTTGTAAGTGCAGCTAAGTGATAAGAACTCATGGACACAAAGAAGGGAACAACAGACACTGGGGACTATTAAAGCGTGGAAGGTGAGAGGAGGATAAGTATAAAAAAAAACTATCGGTTGCCATGCTTATTACCCAGGTGACAAAATATACATGAAACCCCCTGCGACACACAATTTATCTATATAACAAACCTTCCTATGTACCCCTGAAACTAAAAAAAGGCTCAAAAAAATAGCTTTGTTAAAATCGGCAGAAAAGTATTTCCTTCCCTGCTCTCATGCCTTTTAGGCCACAGAAATATGACTAAATAGAAAACATTGATTTTTGAACATTATCAAGTTCTAGAAAGAGATTACAGATGATGGGACAGTTTCTATTATACAAGTTAAGTCTCAAGAGACATACAGAAAAACATGGGGGGGGGAAGAGAAAAAAATTAATAATAGAAAAGCACCAGGATATTCATAGACTAAATACCTTCTTTACTTTCACAACAGTTATACATGCTCTCCTGATGCCAGCTTATGTAAACTGTAAGTCTACTTGTCATATCTTAATTAGAGCCTGCTGTCAGCTAGTCAGGGAAAGGACTATCAGAAGAAAAAGACACAAGTGCAAAAGAAAATCATAACAAATTACTCAACACACTCTCTGCTTAAAAGAAAGAGACATCTGAGGATCACCAGAAATTTATGGAAAATACAGCACAAAGGAAGAAATATTGAAAGGAATCCTAATAATTCTCCAGAAAAAGCTGAAAGAGGCTGAGCATGGTGGCTCATGCCTGTAATCCCAGCACACTGGGAGGCCGAGGCGGGCGGTTCACAAGGTCAGGAGTTCAAGACCAGCCTGACCAACATGGTGAAACCCCATCTCTACTAAAAATACAAAAATTAGCTGAGCATGGTAGCAGGCGCCTGTAACCCCAGCTACCCAGGAGGCTGAGGCAGGAGAATTCTTTAACCCAGGAGGCGGAGGTTGCAATGAGCTAAGATTGTGCAATTGTATGCCAGCCTGGGTGACAAGAACAAGACTACATCTCAAAAAACAAAAAAAAACAAAACACAAAACCTGAAAGAACAATGCAACCGTTTTTATTTTTAAAAGTAGCTATTTAGAAAGAGCAATTCTAGAATTAAAGAAAGGTATCAGAATAAAATGTAAGTTGTTGAACTGAGTTAATGATAAATGGTATTAAGCAATTATTGTTAACTTCCTTCAGTGTGATACCAGTATTGTGGTTGTATTTAAAAAGTAAGAACACTTGGCCAGGACCGATGACTCACGCCGGTAATCCCAGCACTTTGGGAGGCCGAGGCAGGCAGATCACATGAGATCAGGAGTTGAAGACTGATCTCATGGCAGCGTGGCCAACATGGTGAAACCCCATTTCTACTAAAAATACAAAAATTAGCCTGGCGTGGTGGTGTACACCTGTAGCCCAGCTACTCAGGAGGCTGAGGCAGGGGAACTGCTTGAACCTGGGAGGTGGAGGTTGCAGTGAGCTGAAATCGTGCCACTGCATTCCAGTCTGGATGACAGAGAAAGACTCCATCTGAAAAAAAAAAAAAAAAAAAAAGGAACACCTAATTTTTTAGAGAAATATACTGCAGTAGTTATGAATGAAATTACATGATCTCTCTGATTTGCTTTAAAAAAACTCATTGAAGGTGGGGTGGGTGGGAAGTAGTATAGACTAAATAAAACTGGCTGCATGCTGATAACTGCTGAAAGGTGGGAGACTGGAACATAAGACTTCAATTATTGCCTCTACCCTACATGTTGGAAATTTCCAGTATTTAAAAAAAAAAAAAAAAAAAAAAAAAGACTTGAAACATCTAAAACATTCCAGTGACCTTTTAGAAATCTAAAGAGAAAATTGGGCCGGGCGCGGTGGCTCAAGCCTGTAATCCCAGCACTTTGGGAGGCCGAGGCAGGTGGATCACGAGGTCAAGAGATCGAGACCATCCTGGTCAACATGGTGAAACCCCGTATCTACTAAAAATACGAAAAATTAGCTGGGCATGGTGGCACGTGCCTGTAATCTCAGCTACTCAGGAGGCTGAGGCAGGAGAATTGCCTGAACCCAGGAGACAGAGGTTGCAGTGAGAGATTGTGCCATTGCACTCCAGCCTGGGTAACAAGAGCGAAACTCCATCTCAAAAAAAAAGAAAAAAAAAAAAAAAGGAATCTGAAGAGAAAATTTTAAAGATTCTGAGAGAGGATAAAACTAGTGTGTGTAAAAGAATGAGAATCTCACTGGCCACTAAAAGGAAATGAAAGAATGTCTTCAAAGGTCTGAGGAAAATGACTGACTCCACAGATTTCTGCCTAGCCAAACTATTAAGTGAGAGGACAAAATAAAAACACATTTGATATGTCTAAAGACATAGCTAATATATACATATTTTCAGATGGGTAAAATCAAGTTTTATCCATACTTTAGAAAAAAACTTAGTCAAAGATGTATTCTAGAAACATGAGACAGAGCTAAGAATAGAACAGTAGCACACATGGGTAGTAAAGAGAACAACATGGGATACAATAAATAGTTTGCTGCCAAGTAAGAAGAAATGAAGAAAGCTGGTGAGAAATTACAGGAGGATTCATTACACTTGATACTTGATTTTGAGTGTCAAAAAGTTAGTGATATAGAACTGCATATTCTATTTATTAAATTACACTCCTGTTTAGATGGTGAAGAGTATTTATATAATCATGGTTTTGAACATTCAGAATTAGCCTGTAGACAAAGCACAATAGACAACAGAACGAAATGCAAATGTCCAAAAACCCTGTACAAAGGAGAAATATTAACAACCCAAACTGAGAGATGGAATAAGAAGAGAGAAGATGCAAAACATTAGATGTTTTTCATATTTCATTGTGGCAAGCTAATGAAAACTTTTAACTTGCTAAGAAAAGCTCTTTAAGTATGTTATATAAAGATTAAAGGTAACTACTTAGGAAAACTAATTAAATGTAGTAAGACAAATTAAGCAGTAGAGAGAGGAAGCAAGGTATTAGAAGGTATGTGTGCACTATTACTTAAATTTCATAGTGTGACATTCATACATACAGTTGAGTTGCAAGAATCAATGAAAGGATAAATCTATCAGTCATGATGAAAACCAGCAGAAAAACTCCCAGCACATTACTGACAGTGGTTCTGAGAAGTATAAGGAGGTACACCAAGGGGAGACAGAGAGGGTTACATAATTTCGTGCCATTTTGTTCCTTTGCATTTTTACAAACCATGCAATATATTATTTCTATAATAAAAACAAATTTAATTAGCAATATGAATAAATTTTCAGAGAAAATGAAGCATGTTGAATTTGATGAATTCCTTGAGTTTTCTTGTACATTTATAACAAAATTTTGTAAATACTGTTGCTCATTTCAATCTTTCATTCTAAAGAATTTCATTAAGTATTTTTACATAATTAACTATTGCGGCCGGGCTCAGTGGCTCAAGCCTATAATCCCAGCACTTTGGGAGGCTGAGGCGGGTGGATCACGAGGTCAAGAGATCGAGACCATCCTGGTCAACATGGTGAAACCCCGTCTCTACTAAAAATACAAAAAAATTAGCTGGGCATGGTGGCGTGTGCCTGTAATCCCAGCTACTCGGGAGGCTGAGGCAGGAGAATTGCCTGAACCCAGGAGGCGGAGGTTGCGGTGAGTCGAGACCGCGCCATTGCACTCCAGCCTGGGTAACAAGAGCGAAACTCCGTCTCAAAAAAAAAAAAAAAAAAAACTATTGCTCTATAACATTAATAATGGTAATTTACCTGGAAAAATGTATACATTGTTTCCTTGACCTGGTGTAAAGACTCGTCCATCTGTGAGTTTCACTGGCCCAAATGGACTGCCACTGGCAAACAAACACCTGCCCTGTTAATAAAATGAAATAACTTCAATTTTGCTGTTTTCTGTAGATGAGAAAACTGAGATGAATTCATACAAAATCAAGTCCTGGAGTAAAGCAGACCACTATATTACTTGGAAACAAGGCAAATGTACTATATAACAATCTTTTCATTACAATCCTTTTGTTAAGATGAGGTTTGTTTTATGTATGTATACATTCAATAAATAAAGTTAAAAATCATTTATTACTAAAAATTTTAAAAACAGACACTTATTTTTGAGAAATTTAAGGCCAGGCACAGTGGCTCATGTCAGCAGTCCTAGCAACTTGGGAGGGGAAGGTCAGCAGATCACTGGAGGCCAGGAGTTTGAGACCACCCTGACCAACAAGGTGAAATCTCATCTCTATTAAAAACACAAAAAATTAGCTGGGTGTGTTGGCCCATGCATATAATCTCACCTACTCAGGAGTCTGAGGCAAGAGAATCACTTGAACCTGGGAGGCAGAGGTTGCAGTGAGCCAATATCACGCCACTGCTCTCCAGCCTGGGCAACAGAGTGAGACTCCGTCTCAGAAAAAAAAGAAAGAAATTTAAAATGTAGATGGCCAATAAATATCACCCCAAATTATAAAGACCAATATAAACACCTGTGAATGAAGGGGAAGTACCAAAACAAATGGCTGTCATTTACTGTACATCTACTGAAACTAATTGCCAAGTACTTTATATATGTTAACTCAGTTAATTTTGCCCTCATGAAAACTTGATCATCATCTCCATTTCACTAATTAAAAAAAAGAATCAGAAAACTTTGGCTTTAATATTTTCAAATACTTTGTGAAAAGTCACACATCAAAACTGTAGCAGTTAAATCTTAATGTAGATTTTTTTGTAACCCAATAGTCACAGTTTTTCAGTGATGCTGTAATACCCAGCAGTAGGCAGTTTGTAACACAAACATGTGGTATGACCACAGTATCACTCCAGGAAAAAAAAATGGCCTAATGCCTTGTTAAAGAAGAATACTTCTCCAAATTTGTCATATCTATCCAATTTTAATACAATGCTCTATAATGGCATATAAAAGTGTTACTGGCATATTCAGGATTTCTAAGAGAATTAATTGCTCATGTAACTGAAAAGTACCAGAAAGTTATTATTTATAAAACAAAATCCTTTACATATCACTTTCCCCCACATATTTCCCCCTATTTACCACTCTCCCTCAAATGATAAAAAAGAAGAAAGCAACAGTATGCAGGATAACTTATTGTGGAATATTCAAGGAACAACTAAAATAAGTCACGTTTAAACAGCCACTTAGGTTAGGTTAAAAGATAATTTACAGAAAACGGAACTATCTCCACACAGTAGGATGGACAAACTGCCATGATATCTGAACATTTGACAGAGTTATTGTAAATGTTCAGACACTGCTTTGTCTTCTTTTCCTCAAATCGAATAGTGTATATCATACCAAGGGTGATTATTCTTTATAGTATTGTAGACCCTTGGCTTTAGTGGATTTAACATTCAAGAATTTGACTCCAGGAAATCTGAAGGTCAACAATGCAGAGTAACCATTACTTTTATAAGATATACTTTCCATTTCAAAAAAATACAAAGGTTTAAGAGTAGAAGCAAGTTAACTATGGTAATAGGGAACAGCTGATTATCTTAGACCTGCAATTCCATATTATATCATTTTCTACCTATTCTATGGATAGCTATTACAATTCTCTATCTGTTCTAAACATTACTTATGACTAAAAATTTTGTTTATTTGATGATTAAGGTTATTTCATGGTTAATGTCATACATGTTATCACAAGTACATTATTTTTCTGGCACCATTAATTTTAATAGTCTTATAAGGTAGATCATACAATATAGCACTTCATGGAAAAATGTGCTCATGATATCAGTAAGTTTGGAAATCTAGAAAGATCTTGGAAATCTCTTCAATACTGACAAAATTCTACAGCAGTTCACATTCTCCAGGTCATCGCCCCTGCTTCCCCTGCCTTTTTTACTCAATAATTAATCTATGGCTTAAACATGGCCAAGTTTTAATGATAATAGTATATATTCTTATTCTGAAGTCCAAGTTGGTCCATGTAAGCAGCTGGCAATTCAACTCTGAAGATTTTTTTAAAGTATTTTTCTCACTGAGCAGCAAAGGGTGTTGGAGTAGCATCTCCATGGTGAAACAAAAGGGGACTAAAAATTTACCAGGTGATGACTACTCAAAATTCTATGCCATTATTTTACGTAACACTAAGAATTTATGTAAAAGTAAACTATGACACAATGCTCTGTTTTTTTTTAAAGACAGGGTCTCACTCTGTTGCCCAAACTGGAGTGCAGTAGCATGATCACAGGTCACTGCAGCCTCAACCTCCTGGGCTCAAGCAATCCTCCTACCTCAGTCTCCCAAGTAGCTGAAACCATAGGTATGCACCACCATGCCCAGCTAATTTTTAAATTTTTTATAAAGACAGGGTTTCACTATGTTGCCCAGGCTGGTCTCAAACTCATGGGCTCACATGATCCTTGATCTTAAGAATTATGAAATACAGTATATTAAACTAGTCTCCTTGGGGAAATTTTAGTTATTCCAATAATGTATATTTATTACAATTAATATTTACTCAAAAAATAAAATTCTTAAATGAGCAGTTTTCTGGTGACATACTACTACTGCTTAAAATATTTAAATTTTTATATTTCAGAAATGCCAACAATCCATGATGCATCAAATGTATTTACCAAATATATTTAATAGTTACTGTAGAAGACTAAGATTTAATTTGGAGAGTAAACTTTTAAGTAGTAAAGCCTGGTGAAGACGACAGACAATCAAGCTAAAAGTAACAAAATAAAAATATAAGATGTTATACTAAAAAGACTAATTTTTAAATATATATATGTTGATATTGTGATGGATTTAGAAGAACAGATTTCAGTAATTATTTTATCAACTGGAAACCAACAATCATGAGAATTTATAATTTATTTTGACTAACAGAATGGCCACATGGAAGCAAAAGGAATTTTGAGAGAATGTATGTGTCAAAGTTTTTTTTGTTTTTTGTTTTTTTTCCAAGACTGTCTCACTCTGTCACCTAGGCTGGAATGCAGTGCCACGATCTCATCTCACATAGCCTCTGCTTCCCAGGTTCAAGCTATTCTCTTGCCTCAGCCTCCTGAGTAGCTGGGACTACAGGCATATGCCACCATGCCTGGCTAATTTTTTTGTATTTTTAGTACAGACAGGGTTTCATTATGTTAGCCAGGCTGATCTTGAACTCCAGGCCTCAAGTGATCAGCCTGCCTGAGCCTCCCAAAGTGCTGGGATTACAAGCATGAACCACTGTGCCTGGTCTACACAGTGTTTAACGATGGGGGGAGAAAAAAAGAATGCTAAATATATCAAGAATATGAAAATTAAGTTCAGCAAGTTCTGAGAGTTCTGCTTTGGCAGTGATTTTCTGGGTTGTTTCATACCAAATTTTCCTCTGGTTACAATTTTGAAAACCAGGTAAGGCCAGGCGCTGTGGCTCACGCCTGTAATCCTAGTACTTTGGGAGGCCAAGGTGGGTGGATCACCTGAGGTCAAGAGTTCAAGACCAGCCTGGCCATCATGGTGAAACCCCACCTTAAAAAAAAAAGAAAAGAAAACCAGATAAAATACATTTTAAATAATTTTTTTAAGGAAGTAGAGAGCTAACAAGATAGTGAGAGTCTGGTATTGGGGAAGAAAGGTTTCCAAGATCCAAAAGAAGAGGGAAGCAAGATACATGAGCCTAGTGTTTGAAGCTCTTCCCCTCAAGATGACTGCTGCTTTCCAAATTAAAAGCTGTGGCTGAGACCCTGAACAGCAAAGCTATCAAAAGTCTCATGATGACAGAGAGGAAACGGATGTTCAGGGACCATTAAGGATGAGAGGTGCTGATAAATACTTCAAGACTTCTGATTCATACCCAAAGGGGTGGATATCAGCAGAAAGGGCAAACTGGAAATACCCCAGGCCTCATGTGGACCACATCCTGACTGGATTATGGCGACCTACTCAAAAAAGTAAAGTCCCTTTTCCAAAGATGACTTTATCCACAGCCTTAAATTATTGCCATACATTTTTTTTTTTGAGACAGAGTTTTTGCTTTTGTCGCCCAGGCTGGAGCTGGAGTGCAGTGGCGTGATCTCGGTTCACGGCAACCTCCGCCTCTCAGGTTGAGGAGATTCTCTGGTCTCAGCCTCCCAAGTAGCTGGAACTACAGGCACGCACCACCACGCCCAGCTAATTTTTTTTGTATTTTTAGTAGAGATGGGTTTCACCATGTTGGCTAGGATGGTCTCGATCTCTTGACCTTGTGATCCACCCACCTCAGCTTCCCAAAGTGCTGGGATTACAGGCATGAGCCACTGCACCCAGCCTATTGCTATAATTCTTTATATCCATCACTCAATTAAAAAAAAAACAAAAATATAAAACAAAGTACAAATTAGGCTTACAAAAAAACCTGATTACCAAAAGATAGATAATAAAAATGAACTCATATAGAGTGAGATATTTATTACCATCAGAAAATTTTAATTGTAATTCATATATTTATGAAATTAGGTGGCGTACAGTGGCTCATGTCTGTAATCTCAGCATTTGGGAGGCTGAGGCAGGGGGATCAATTGAGGCCAGCAGTTTGAGACCAGCCTGGCCAACAAAGCAAGACCTTGTCTCTACAAAAATAAAAATTTAAAAATTAGCTGGGTGTGGTGGTGTCTGCCGGTAGTCCCAGCTACTCAGGAGGCTGAGGCAAGAGGATTACTTGAGTCAGGAGTTGGAATCTGCAGTGAGCTATGATTGTGCCACTACACTCCAGCCTAGGTGACCAAGGGAGACCCTATCTCAAAATAAAATAAAATAAAATGGTAAGATATAATTATTGTTAAAATTATGATGTATAATAGTAGTGTGGTTATATTTTTAAAAGAATACTTAGCTTTTTAGAGATATACAATAATATTTATTTTTCTATTACAAAAACTTTTTTTTGAAGGAGTGAAGATAAAAAATCTATCACAGATTTATTACTTATTCTCAAGGATGTAATCTAGCAATAATAGCTGCTAGACATCATAATAAAGAAGCCTTTAAAAATCACTTCCTAGAGCCACTTTGATTACTTAGGAGACGGTAGGGAAAAAAAAACAAATGTTGAGTGATATATAGGCAGATATTTATAATTGGGCTATAATCCTATGGTAATGTCACAGATCTAAAAGCACTGAATCTTAAACAGTTTGGATATAAATAAAAATTCGTTCTCCACAGCTGTCAGATAACTCAAAAAGACAGCCCTAGAAAAGACAAACACCAATGGTGAAGACACATTTGAAAACAGTAAAAAGAAATGTTTCATGAAATGTGAGTGCAAGAAAGCAGTATTTAGAAATTGATTGTTTCTATAGTACAAGATTTTAAGTCTGTTACTAAATTAATAAATTACACAAAGCAAACAAATTCTATAAATGAAAAATATTCAATAACTAAAATTAAGAACTGACAACACATTAGCACAGCTGAACAGAGAATCTACAAACTGGAAGATAGGGCCAAAGAAAATCATCAGATCAAAACAGAGAGCAAGAAGGATAGTATATACAGAAAATAGTGTAAAAGATATATGACGATATGCGGTGAAAAAGTCCGACCATATAGAGTCCCATAAGAGAGGAGAGAGAGAATGTGGCCAAAATAGAGATACTGGCTGATATTTTTTCAAAATAGAAAAGTCAAAAACCAAAAACAGACATCAAGCCACAGATTGAGGAGCAGTATAATAACCATGTGAAATAAATACAAAGAAAACCTTGTATAGGTCTGCCATAGTCAAACTGCTAAAAACCTAAGACAATGATATATCATCAAAAAGAAAACAAAAGTCAGAAAACAATAAAATGATACCTTTAAAATGCTTCAGTATTACTAACTTTTACTTCTATGTAGAGTGAAAATATCCTTCAACATGAAGGCAAAATAAATTATTGAGAGAATTCATTAGACCTACACTTAAAAAAAGAAATTCTTCTGGTAGAAAGAAAATGATCCTATGTAGTAGCATAGACATGCAGGAAGGAATAGTGATAAAAAAATTAAAATGTAGGTAAACCTGAAAATTTTTTGTGAAATATAATAATAATGTATTTTGGGTTTAAAATACGTAGAAAATTAAAATTCACAACAATAGTGCAAATATTGTGAGGGCATTACAATGGAGTTATAAAGTAATTGTTTCCCATAATTGATAGAAACAATAATTTATATCAGACTTTGATGACCCACAGATGCATGCTGTAATCTCTAGGGAAACCACTAGAACAACTGTGTAAGAATGTATAACTAATAAGCTACTGAAAGGAAAATAATACACATATTAATTCATGTGACTATTATTAATACCTCTGTAAGTGTATATGCTTCTTCAGCCGTGCACTCTGCCTGTGCTGTAGGATTACTTAATGCAAATATTACAGGCCTTTCATTGATAGAGGCCATAGCTCTGATTACATCAGGAGTAAAAAGACGGCCAGCTCCTGCAACTCCTGTAATAAGGGAGAAAAACAGCAACTTCATTATAGGTATAAAAGCAATGCTTATCAAGAGCATTTCTACAATAGGGCTATAATAACAAAAACACAAGTAATACCTCATTATAAAGATAGCACTATCTCAGCAATGCAAAATCTATGAGAACACAATCTCAAATCTGAAAAGAAAAAACAGTAAGATGCTGAAAGTTCTCACTTAAATATTTATTGTTTACTACACACACAATAAATTATGGGAAATTTTATTATTTTAACTTTTTGTTTTTTGAGAGTCTCACTCTGTTGCCTAGGCTGGAGTGTAGTGGCACAATCTTAGCTCACTGCAACTTCCCTGCTCCTGGGTTCAAGTGACTCTCGTGCCTCAGCTTCCCGAGTAGCTGGAATTAAAGGTGTGTGCTACCACACCTGGCTAATTTTTGTATTTTCAGTAGAGATGAGCTTTCGCCATGCTGGCTAGGCTACTCTCAAACTCCTGACCTCAGGTGATCTGACAGCTTTGGCCTCCCAAAGTGCTAGAATTACAGGCATGAGCCACCACGCCCAGCCAGTTTTTAAAAAGAGTGTAAGACTATCTTCATCATTCTAATTAGGAAGATAAAACTTGCTACCACATGGATGAACACTGACATTATGCCAAATAAAGTAAGCCAGTCACAAAGAGAAAAATACCATGTCATTCTACTTAGGTAGTTAAATTCATAGAGACAAAAAGTAGAATGGTGATTGTTAGGGGTCGGGAGGGTGGGGAAAATGGGGAGTTATTGTTTATTATTTATTTATTTTTTGAGACGGAGCCTCACTCTGTCACTGAAGCTAGATGCAGTGGTGTGATCTTTGCTCACTGCAACCTCTGCCTCCCAGGTTCAAGTAATTCTTCTGCCTCAGCCTTTCGAGTAACTGGGACTATAGGTGCATGCCACCGCATCTGGTTAATTTTTGTATTTTTAGTAGAGACACGGTTTCACCATGTTGGCCAGGTTGGTCTCAAACTCCTGACCTCAAATGATCCGCCACCCATCTCAGCCTCCTAAAGTGCTGGGATTAGGTGTACCCAGTTGGGAGTTATTAGTGGTTATAGAGTTTCAGTTTTTCAAGATGAAAGAGTTGTGAAGACTGGTTGCACAACAATGTGAATGTACTTAATGCTACTGAAGTACACACTTAAAAATGCTTAACATGACAAATTTTATGTTATATGATATGTCTTTTACCACAATTAAAAAATTTTTAAAAACCCTTGTGTGTCAAATGCTAAACTGTTAAACTCTGTGTAACTCATTATAAAAATAGAAATTTGGAAGGAATAAAAGGTCACCTTCACTAAAGCAATCCACTTTCCTGATACAGTTCAGTTTAACAAGCTTTTATTAAACCCCTACAATGTCCCAGACACTGTATTAAACCATTAGGATATAAAAATGAATATAATGCAGGCAGCTCATGGTTGAAAGAAAAACAACGAATAAAAAGATAATCAGAAAACCTGTAATAGGGCTGGGCGCAGTAGCTCACGCCTGTAATCCCAGCACTTTGGGAGGCCGAGGCAGGTGGATCACCTGAGGTCAGGAGTTTCAGACCAGCCTGGTCAACATGGTGAAACCCCGTTTCTACTAAAATTCCAAAAATTATTTGGGCATGGTGGCAGGCACCTGTAATCTCAGCTATTTGGGAGGCTGCGGCAGGAGAATCACTTGAACCTGGGAGGCAGAGGTTACAGTGAGTCAATATCGCGCCACTGCACTCCAGCCTAAGCAATAGAGACTCCGTCTCAAAAATAAAAAAATAAAAAAAATTAAAAAAAACCCCAGCTATATAGAAAATTAAATAGCTCCTCTTTTAAACACTTTTATATTTTCTGCTGAGAACATAATGCCATAATGGCATAGTCTGATGTCAGTTATGCAACCTGAATTAAAACACTGAAGTTTTCAGCTTTGTTGCCCACAAAAATTTTGAGTCTGCATAGAATTCTCCTGGTAAAACCTGCAAATGGCTTTGGTCTTTTTCATGTTTTGAGTCCAACAGTCATAACAACTCTAAAAGCAAAGTATCACTGACTGCATAGTGTTTAGGACTTAAGTATAAGCAACATCTGGTAACTGAATTTCATGCATGGTAACCAAACAGTTATCACAGAAAACACTGTATATGCTGAAATCTAGGTAAAACTGTCAATTCATTTTTAGTAATCGTACATGGTAATTATGACTAGCAACATACAGTTAAGGAGTAAAATTATTTATCAGAATAACTTTACCTACCGATTATAGTTGAAGGCTTCAGTATATTAACTGCATCTTCAAAAGTCTCAGGTATGTTCTCTGGGCTTGGGTGAGTAAATGGCTCCTGATAAGTATCTATTTTTGCTTTCCGTCCCTAAATTTTGAGATAAAATACAGTATTTTTTTAGTCAATGCATATTAAGGATAAAATAAAAAGAAATCATTATGAGTTACACATTGTTTCTACAATAGAAATGTATTCTCATTTTCATTTACTTTCTTCTTCAACCCTTATCTTCCAATTCTGTCTTCATCATGTCCATATACGCAAATATGAAGCAAAAATAAAATCTCCCATTATTCCCAGAAACTTTGCAGTCTCTCTCAAAAATGCATTTACTCTATGAGGTCTTCCTAAATCCAATACGGCACACAAAAGCCAACAATCCTTTATCTGGGCTAGATGAGTTTGGAATTAAGAATTTTTCATATTTAATTTAATTTGATTGATTGATTTTGAGATGGGGTATCACTCTGTCACCCAGACTTGAGTGCAGTGGTAGCCTCTACCTCCCCAGGCTCAGATGATCCTCTCACCTCAGCCTCCAGAATAGCTGGAACTATAGGCACATAACCACCAGGCCTGGCTAATTTTTTTTTTTTTTTTTTTTTGTAGAAATAGGGTTTTGCCATGTTTCCCAGGCTGGTCTCAAATTCCTAGGCTCAATCAATCTGTCCACCTTGGCTTCCCAAAGTGCTGCGATTACAGGCAGGAGCCACCACTCCTGGCTGAGAATTTTTCATGTTTTAGAAATACAATATGGCATTGGGCACAGTGGCTCACACCTGTAATCCCAGCACTTTGGGAGGCCGAGGTGGGTGGATGACAAGATCAGGAGTTTGAGAACAGTCCGGCCAACATAGTGAAACCCTGTCTCTACTAAAAATACAAAAAATTAGCTTGGCGTGGTGGCATGTGCCTATAATCCCAGCTACTCAGGAGGCTGAGGCAGGAGAATTACTTGAACCCAGGAAGCAGAAGGTGCGGTGAGTGAGATCACACCACTGCACTCCAGCTCGGGCAACAGTGCAAGACTTTGTCCTAAAAAAAAAAAAAAGAAAAAGAAATACAATATGGCATATATCAAATATTACATACTCTCCCTCCTAACAGATATACTCCACAACTGAACAAACATATGAATAGTCACACCAAGTACAAAAGATTAAGACTACAAAGAGCTTCTTACTAGTTTGAGTCAGGTTTTGCTACTAGATGAGTTCAGGGCAATCAGATTTGCCACCAAAATACATTTCGGAAAAAATTTTGGAATTTCAAAGCCTTTAGAATTTCAGGATTGCAGACAGACACCATGGACTTATACTATCAGGAGTTTAGAAACAAGAGGAACAGGGAATTCTGATTAAAAATGGCGGAATGAATAAATGTGCTTTCCTTTCCAAATCCCAGGTCAAAAACCATAAAAAGTTAAATTCTTAGTAGTGCCACAAAGTCAGAAGAGGTACAAACTGACAAACTAGAGCAATGAAGAATTTCTCCATGATTTAAGGCAGACAAAAACATACTGAATGCAAAAACCAACTGAGAAGATTATATTCTTATTTTGGTAAAAAAGATGACTTCTGAAAAAGTGATTTCCATCAGAACTCCAAGATAACTTCAGATAAGAATCGGTTGGGCACGGTGGCTCATGCCTGTAATCCCAGCACTTTGGGAGGCTGAGGCGGGTGGATCACGAGGTCGAGAGATCGAGACCATCCTGGTCAACTCGGTGAAACCTCGTCTCTACTAAAAATACAAAAAATTAGCTGGGCATGGTGGCGCGTGCCTGTAATCCCAGCTACTCAGGAGGCTGAGGCAGGAGAATTGCCTGAACCCAGGAGGCGGAGGTTGCGGTGAGCCAAGATCGCGCCATTGCACTCCAGCCTGGGTAACAAGAGCGAAACTCTGTCTCAAAAAAAAAAAAGAAAAGAAAAGAAAGAAAATGTAGTACATAGACACCATGGAATACTACACAGTCATAAAAGAGACTGAAATAATGTTCTTTGTAGCAACATGGATGCAGCTGGAGGCATTATCCTAGGTGAATTAACGCAGAAACAGAAAACCAAATACTGAATGTTCTCACTTGTAAGTGAGAGCCAAATGTTGGGTATACATGAACATAAAGATGGGAACAAGAGATACTGGGGACTCCTAAAGAGGGGAGGAAAGGAGGGGTAAAGGGATGAAAAACTACTTATTGGGTACTATGTTCACTACTTGGGCGAAAGGATCATCAGAAGCCCAAACCTCAGCATCACACAATATACCTATGTAACAAACCTGCACATGTATTTAAAAAAAGGCTGGTTGTGGTGGCTCATGCCTGTAATCCCAGCACTCTGGGAGGCTGAGGCGGGCAGATAACCTTAAGTCAGGAGTTCAAGACCAGCCTGGCCATCATGGCAAAACCCTATCTCTACTAAAAATACAAAAATTAGCCAGATGTGGTAGCAGGTGCCTGAGCTTCAGGAGGCTCAGGCAGGAGAATTGCTTGAACCTAGAAGGCAGAGGTTGCAATGAGGTGAGATTGCGCCACTGCACTCCAGCCTAGGTGACAGAGAGAGAGAGAGGCTTCAACACAAAAATAAAAAAATAAATAAATTAATAAAATTTTAAAAAAGAATTTCTGCTCAAATATCAAAAGTACTGCTAATACTGTAATTTAATCAGGGAGTTCTGCTGAAAAGAGAGTGGAAGGTCCCAATCGGTATAATGTGAATCAATGAGAAACAAGATTTTAAGGAATAACATTTTAAAAATTCAACTAAAAATATAACACACTCTTTTGCTTCTCCAAATTTTAAATACTTTACCTTAACTAATAAACCATACTTGTCAAACATCCAGATTTTCTTTTGTGCCTCTTCTTCTGACAGGCCATTTTCTACCATAGACATAACTATAAGATTTGCAATTCCAAGAGCAGCCTGTCCAACAAAACATAAATTTTAATATATACTAGAGTATGATGAAATGCTTAAGTCACTTTATATATGTATATTATATCCTGTATGATTTGGTTTATTTTTCCCTTACAAATCAAACAAAAATTCTTCGTGATACTCTCTCTAAACATATTTTAAATTACCTGTTTTACAGTAGAAGTCTTGATTTCATATCCTCTACCTCAACAAAACTACAAGCTCATTACGATCTTTTATATAAACATCAACATTCTGCCCATTTTCCAATTTTAGAAAAGAGGGTGGACTTTTAAGTTTTAAAAAGTCTACAAAACTTACCTCTCCTGCTCCAAGGAATAAGATTTTATGTTCGGAGATTGGTTTACTGATAACTTTTTGTGCTGCAAGAAGGCCTGCTAGAGCTACTGCAGCTGTCCCTATAAGAAAAACAAAGATCTTTACAAATAAAAAATGGGCACATTAAAAATGCTTAAAAAGTAAGAATCAAAACCCTAAAGTGTTTTTTTTGTTTGTTTGTTTGTTTTTTGTTTTTGCTTTACCTTGAATATCATCATTGAAAGTACAATACTTTTCTCGGTATTTTCTCAAGAACCTGAATGCATTATGATTTCCAAAGTCTTCAAACTGAATGAGTGTGTTCCGGCCGTATCTAAAAACAGCAAAACCCATAATAGTTGTGTTGAAAATAACACTATTAAACAGCTTTCCATCTAATATTCCCTACAGGAGCGTTCAAAAATAACGTATGTTAGTTCAATTAAAGCCATCTGAAAATTTTGAGAGCCAGTGAAAAACTAGATTCAAAATGTAGAAATTATTCAATTAAAAAAATGTATGAGGTTTTTAAAAATAACATGCCACAATAATGGACCCATGGGATACGAATCTGTGTAAACTATTTTCAAGTGTCTAGGAGGACACCTTCTCTGACTCTGAACCTCAAGAAATATATATTTGATACGAAATTCTCATTACATTAACAGTTAAACAGCAACACAAGAAAGTATATATTAAATAAGTAATTGAAAAATAATTCCTATTTGAGTTCACTGACATTCAGAAAAAGAAAACGTAAATGATCTAGGTGAGTTACAGTAAGGGAAGGCTTCAAAAGGAGGTGGGCCCTGAAAGAACAAAAAGTACAGCGGTAGGAAGAAAAGCAGGCTGTATTTGGGTGACCCTGACTTTTCAATAATCTGGCTATATATTTCATGGTTTACATTAAGAGATAAGGGAGAAGTTGGTTAATGCAAGTTGGGACCAAATAAGGGAGAATCTCAAATGCTAAATTAGAGAACAGGGACTTCCTTCCGCATCCCACGTAGAACCACTGAAGGCTGCAGAGAAGGAAAAAATTCACACGACGCCCTTTAGGAAGGATAAACACGCCAGTGATACGTAGCACATATTGGTGTGGGGAGAGACGCAAATGGCAGAAGCAACTAGGCGGCTACTGTAAAATGAGGACGAGATCTGAAGCAGAAGACTCAGGAAGCAAAAGGAGTAACTGAGCTATAAGAAAGAATGACTAGAAATTGGAGGATCAACTGGAAAATGAGGAAGAAGCTATTAGAATGTCAAGGTACCTGGAATAACTAAGAAGACACTATTTGGTTGTCCAAGGTAGGAAAGTGAGAGGAAGAAGAAGAGATGGCAATTTCTGAGAAGATGTAAAGTTCCGCTTTAGATTTGTTGACTTTGACTCTGAAAAGGAATTAATTTTCAAATATCTTCTACATGCCAGCAATTTTAAAGGTAGGCCAAGATTAGATCATTAAGATAAAGGGTTTGATTTTATCCTATGGCAATAGGAAACCAATGAGAGATTTCAAGCCAAAGAATGACATAATCACAACAATTAATCTGGTGTTAAGGTGGAGATAAACTGGAGAGGAGACGACAGGAGGAAGAATTAGAAAACTCTAGGAGAGATAAGGAGAGAGCAAGATTGTGGCTTTCTCCTTACCTCTGGAAAACAAGAGACATTTAAATGGTAGTACCCACCAAATTTAAGAAATATCTGACTGCATGGGAGACTGATGGAGAAGGCAGAAGGGTCAAAGATAACACCAAAATCAAAGTTTTGGCAATAGGGTGAATGTTACTGCCAGTAATAGAAGCTTCAAATACAGAAGATAGGTTGTTTGGAAAGGAAAGGATTTCAGTGTGGGATGTGAATATGCACTCACAACAGAATATCCACATGGAAGATTCTGGTTATTAGAAACGCAGGCCTCAGAACAGCAGTGGGACTACAGATGGGTTTTTACGGGTTTAGGGGTAACATACATAAAGGTCACAGTTCATGGGTCAAAGAGAAGAGGACTATGTAGTTATCCACATTTAATAAGACACAGCAAGAACCAGTAAAGATGACAAAGAGAGAGAAAGAGAGAAAGAGAGAAAGAGAGAGAGCGAGAGAGTGAGAGAGCGAGAGAGAGAGAGAGAGAGAGAGAGAGAGAAAGGTGGGAGAAAGACCAAGTTAGGAGGAAGATACTTAGTAGTCAAGAGAAGACAGTTTCAAGGACGTAGGAGTGGGAAAACCTGAGTCCATGTTGCAAAGAGGTAGAAAGGTGGGAGGACCAAATGGTCAGAGAGCTTAAAATACAAAAGCTGCACAAGAGCTTCAGTGGAATGTGGGTGTGGGCCTGAAGGTCAAGCCTGAAAAAGGTACCACGCAGTAAGAGTTTGATAGAAGCAGCGAGGGCAGACTTCCCTCAAAATGTCAGGTAACTCAAGAAAGCAAGGCAGACCATGGGAACCATCTCATATCAGCACATCTAATCAGGCAGAAATAAGCTGGACAAAGTTCTCAAAAATGTAATGGCTTCCCGCTGATCTTCACAAGAGGTAAAGGAAAACAAAACAAAACTTTTGGTTCTTACCCTGCCACTCTTCCCTTCATTAAAGGTACTTTCATATACTCAAACTTTTAAAAAATACCTGTCAGTAATAGCTTTCATAAACTCATCAATCAGGTCATCATACTGTTGTGTGCGATCTCTTTTCTGGTACAAGCCCATGTAAAATGGGTCTTTTAAGAGTGCCTATAAAATAAACCAAATGTAAAAATAAAATAATTTTTATTACATAATCATTTTAAATAAAAACTGCAAAATAAAAAATTACTAATACAACTTTTTAAACTTATTGCCTATTTTTTTTCTTTTGAGATAGAGTCTTGCTATTGTCACCCAGGCTGGAGTGCAATGATGTGATCTCGGCTCACTGTGACCTCCGTCTTCTGGGTTCTGGCAATTCTCTTGCCTCAGCCTCCCAAGTAGCTGGGATTACAGGTACGCACCACTACACCCGGCTAACTTTTTTGTATTTTTAGTAGAGATGGGGTTTCACTGCGTTGGCCAGGCTGATCTCGAACTCCTGACCTCAGGTGATCCACCCACCTCAGCCTCCCAAAGGGCTGGGATTACAGGCATGAGCCACCACGCCCAGCCCAAGAAACTTTTAATAGACTTAATTTACTATTATTTATATAAATATTAAAAATGGAATTTAAGAAAAAGACTAACATCTAATCATAAAAATTTCCCTTCTTAAATTATGATTTTCAAAAGAGGAATAGAATACAAACTTTTAAAAATACAGGAGGAAGATAAAGGGGGAAAATGATATTACTCACGATATTATCCGTTCCCACATCAATACACACTGGCAGGCATCTATCAGGCCGTATTCCTGCACAAGCTGTATACAAGCAAAGTTTTCCTACTGGAATTCCCATTCCATAGACACCCAGATCTCCAAGACCCAGAATTCTCTCTCCATCAGTCACTACAACAGCCTTAATCACACAAAAAAGATGCAAATTAAAAGTTGTCAAAAATGGGGCACTAAAGAAAAGCATTCTTTAAAAGATTGAATCATTTCATATGTTTTCACTCTTGCTTTTAAAAATAAAATTGTTTCTTGGGCTAATTTCCAATGTAAACTAACCAAGCATACTTAAAATTCTAGGATTTTTGACTATTATGGGACATTAACTAGATTGGATTTCCTCTGACTTCGGTTTAGAAACAGAATTCTTCTGACTAGAGGACCAACTTAAATATCATCAGAAAGATTAAATATGGCAGAGATGAACAAGATTCTGACTGAGAGATTACCATAAGAGAAAATTAAGAGTTTAGAAATAAATAGCATGATACTCCAACCCAATAACCGAGGCCAAACAAGAAAAACCTTAGCAACTGTGAAAAAGAAAAAGATCTAGAACAAAAAAATACCTGAAGTCTTAAGATGATACCGTGAGTTTAATTATCTGCCCAAATTTTTGCTAGATTATTCAAACCAATGATCACTCAGCAATATTTTGGTAAAGAGTATAAAGACAGGTAAGATTATTGCCTATAATAAAATTTACAGAAGCTACCCAAAGATCTTTAAATAAGTTATTACGTTTTATTTTAGGAAAGATAACCAAATAAGCCTTACATTTGCTATATTTGACATTTTTATATTTGCTAAGGTTCTAAATCTTATATTTAAAAGAAAAAAAGGATAACCAAACTTCTCTCTGACACCATCCATAAACAAAAGTTTTTAAGGCATTTTAATGTATTTTCTTTTCTTAGAATAATACTAGTGAAAAGAAAAGGAGACTGAGAAGGCAGGAGGCACCCGTGGTACTGATACCCAGAGGGCTCACCTTGTATTCTAGCTCCAATTTCTTCCTCAAACTCTATACCAGTAGCCCATTTTATAAGTCCTACTATTATCATCTCCGTAGCTACAGAGCACTAAATCTGCAGGTATTTAAGTGCAAAATAAATCAAAGCAACAATTAAAAACTGTTCTTGGAGATTTAGAGGTAATTTACAAGAAAAGAGAAAACATTGTGAAAAGAAGGCTTGTACTATTAGTACCTTAACATGATTTTCTGGCCAGTTATCCACAATTGATCTAACATGACCTCTGTCTGAGATCGAAATAAATAATCCCCTGCAACAGAACAAAAACACCTTTGCATTTCACAACAGCTTTGTTTCTAAGTTTTTTTATAATTGAAATATTTTGATATTTTAATAAAATATGAATCAAGACATGGTATAATTTCCAAGCAGATTTAGCTAAGGCACACTAGTTTATTTTCAAACATTTTCAAGTACTTCAAACTGTAATTACACCGGTCATAGCAACTGCAACAAAGATTATTGTTAAATTATACAATCACTTTACCCCAAAAGAAATGTATACACACCTCATGTTCAAATAAACTCAATACACAACCAGGGGAAAAAAAAAAAAACCTAATGCAAGCCACCAATGCAGGAGAGCATAACAAGGCCAACTAAACTATGATTAAAACTTTCTGAAACTGAAAATTTGAAATTTGAAGGAGCAGGAAGGGAGAGAAGAAAATTACAGTAAATTCACACAAAAGGTGAAACACCTAAGTATCATGAAAAGTTACTTTTACCTATTTAACATTATTTTTTTAATTGACAAAAATTGGATATACAGTTGGCCCTTGAACAACGTGGGTGTTAGAAAATCAAAAGTCAAAAATTTACAAATGATCTTCCAAAAACTTAACTACTAATGGCGTACTACTGACTAGAAGCCTTACCAGTAACATACAGGTTGACTAACATTTTTTTTTTCAGATGGGGTTTCACTCTTTCACCCAGGCTGGAGTGAAGTGGCACAATCTTGGCTCACTGCAACCTCCACCCCGCTACAGTTCAAGAGATTCTCCTGCCTTACTCCAAGTAGCCAGGATTTTAGGTGCCTATGACCACGTCCAACTAGTTTTTGTATTTTCAGTAGAGACAGGTTTCTCCATGTTGGCCAGGCTGGTCTCAAACTCCTGACCCCAGGTGATGCACCCACCTCAGCCTCCCAAAGTGCTAGTATTACAAGCATGATCCACCGCACCCAGCTAACTAACACTACTTTGCATGTTGTATGACATACAAATTATATATTGTATTCTTAAAGTAATCTATAGAAAACAAAATGTTATTAAGAAAATCATGAAGGGGAGCAGTAGGAGGGGTTGGTCTTGCTGCCTCAGGGGTGACAGAAGCACAAGAAAATCCCAGTATAAATAGACCTTCGCACCTGTCTTGTTCAAGGGTCAACTGTATTTATCGTGTACATGTTTTGACATATGCGTAAATTGTGGAATGACTAACGAAAAGTCACTTTAAACACAGTATGTTGTTGCCTAATTCAGATAATCCACATTTCAAAAGAGAAAGAGAAGAAAGGAAGGAAAAAAAAGAAAAAAGAAACACAGGTTGTAGAACACAGGTCAGGCAGACATGAGGGCCAATGGATCCTCATTGCTGTCAAACTGATCTTACGTTTAACTTTTTCATTGGTATCTAAAATTTGACCCTACTATTACAGTTCAAATCAGCTTAGTTCAGCCATTTCTCAAACATGGCTATATAATGGAATTGTCTGATAAACTTTAAAATGCCAGGGTCCCACCTCCAAACATTCTGATTTAATTGGCTTAAAGTTTATATCAACCAACCAACCAAGATTTAATAACTATCTACAAAAACAAAATGAACAAAAAAGCCCACCGCACAATACATTGCATAAATAATATACAGTATTTTCCCTCACACAAAAAGCTATGCTCTTCTTGTTTTCTGTTGGTTCTCAACTCTGGGTATACATTAGAATCATACCAGGCTCTTTTGTGAAACTCCTAAGCCTAGACCAACTGAATCTGAATCTCTGAGGGTGGGGCTCAGGCATCAGTATTTCTAAGTTTCTCTCTATCTTTCAATCAACCTAATAAGAAAGTATTAAATAGCTGAACAAAATGTTTATGTCATAGAAACATTTTAGATACAGTAATTGTTGGCAGCATACAGGTTAGAACAGTCTCTTTCTCAGTCTTCTAGGGAATACGGGCAACACATTCACTGAGGGTGCTCACTAAAATCCAGACCTTCATATCTTTTTTCTTTTTCATAAGAAATCTTGGGGATGGGGAGGAGAGGTAAGTTGGCCGAAATTAACATTTTGATTAAGTCCCACAGGTATTTCTTACACACATTAAAGTTTGAAATCCACTAGACTAGATGACAGGAGATTGAATATAAATGCTGTCTTACATTGTTTGAATTTCTACATGTGGAACAATATGTTAATTGGGCATGGGGAAATATTATAAGGATTGAGAAAAGTAATAATAGATTAGAGGAACAACACAAGAAAACTCAGATTAAGTAAAAACAGCATCTATATATATAATATTTATAATTTTCTGAAGAACTGTCACATTGGTTTCTCCAATAGCTCTTTGATAGGTCCTGCTTTTCCCATTTTACGTGAGGAAACACATTTATGGGGATCATGTGACTCATTCAAGGACTTGAGTCAGTCCTTGCCATTCCAGTCTCTTCCCATTTATAATGTTTGTAGGTGCTACAACTATTTGAAATTAAAATTCATGAAAGTTCATTAAAAAAAAAAAAAAAAGAAGAACAGGCTGAATGAAGTGGCCTGTAAATCCTGGCAACTTGGGAGGCTGAGGCAGGCCAATCACTTGAGGTCAGAAGTCCAAGAGCAGCCCAGCCTACATGACAAAATCCCATCTCTACTAAAAATACAAAAATTAGAAGGCATGGTGGCATGCAACCTAATTCCAGCTACTAGAGAGGCTAAGGGATGAGAATTACTCGAACCTGGGAGGCAGAGGTTGCAGTGAGCTGACATCACACCTCTGCACTCCACTCCAGCCTCGGTGACAGAGTAAGACTCTGTCTCAAAAACAAAAAACAAACAAACAGAAATTAAAACTGATTAAAAAATGAGAAAGAACCAATCTGTTAATTTGGCTTTATTGACAAAAATTTTAATGATATTTTAATCTCCCACCAGAATTAAAACATTTTTTGGTGGTGGTAGTGGGGAGTTCCAAAAGTATGTAATTCTTCTAACAACCACAATAATTTAAAGAAGGTTAAAAATGAATGATACTATTTCTACAAAGATAAAAGTTATCAGCTAAAGAAAAAACTTATCAATATTTGGGGTTTTGTTAATCTCTTTTAATCGAAATTAAGTTTTTGTGAAGTGGGAAATGTGATTCGGCTAAGACATATAAAACAAAAATGTAATAGGTGTTATGGAATATTTTCCTTATTCAATCATCATTTACAAGTATTTTTTTAAAATAAGCCTTACTTAGGTCTTCTAAAGATGTGTCCATACTGGGAGCAAGCAAGACCAACTGTTGGTGTATATACAATTGGCATTAAACTCTCAATGTCATCTTGCAGTATTCTATAAAACAATTTCTCATTTCTTTCTTGTATTCCCATTATGTAGATATATCTGAAATTAAGCACAGTAAATAATGTCCAAGTCAGCCTACATTTACGTTAAAAGTCTTGGCTTATGAAAGTTAAACCTAAATGTCTAAAACTGAAATCCCACATCCACATTCTAAAAAAAACCAAAACCTTAGATTATCGCTATTAAAAACCCAGGACTAAAAATTAACAAAAATATGAAGGTACTTAAATGGTAGATGATGATGATGATGAAGACGACGATGAAATAACAATAGAAACAATGTTTACTGAACTCTTACTGTGAGTCAGGTACTATAGAAGGCACTAGAAATGCAAAGATCACTAGGAGATCCTTATCCTTAAGGAATTAAGGAGACTGACATATAAATAGGGAAGCAAAATAAACTGGCATTCATTCAAACATTTGCTTAACACTATATGCCTGGCACTATTCTCCAAGGATATAAGAAGTCACCCCTGTTTTCAAGGAATTTATAACCCAAGAGGGTTAGAAACATTACAAGGTCTATATAGAACGCAGAAGTGGCACAAAAAAAGGCAACTGTCAATTGATGTCAATAAATATATTAATAATTTATTTTTAAATTAGAGAACAGGGAACTGGCTTGAAAGCTAGTAATTATCTTGAATTAAATATGTCTAAAGCAGACATATCTTTCCCCTGACCTTGTTTCTTCAGCTATCATGTGACCAAATGGGAAACCCAGATTCCATTCTTGTTTTCTTCCTCTCCTACCCTCCCAACACCAATCCTATAAATCACGAAGTCCTACAGAGTCTACCTGCTAAACAGCTTTCAAATATATCCATTTGCTCCCTCCATCCTCACACAGTACAAGCTACCATCATTTCTCAGCTGGGCTACCTCAAAAGCCTTCTTACTAGTCTTTATAAATAAAATTTTCCTCCTATGCTCCAGTTCATTCTTCTCTTAAAAACCTGTGTTCATTTCTGTTCTCCTTAAATTGCTTCCAAACAAATCATCATAAAATAAGGCTCAAGCTCCTAAAATAGTTAACAAGACCTCTGCCTACTTTACAGCCTCATGCCCTTCAAGTTGACTTCAGCTCCTCCAATGCAACACAACTCAAACCGGAGTTGCTACATTTAGTGCCCCCTTTGCCTGCACTCTCCATCCAGGCATAGTCCTATATACATGCACTCCAAATGCAGCTCAGGTGGTGTGCTTTCTGGGTGCCCTTTTGTATCCACTCTCCTCCCCTATCATACATACATACATGCTTTAGACTTTCTTGTTTTCAGGTCCCATGATACCCTACTCCCCTCTGTAACTCTCACTCTACTTTCTGACTTTCTGGCTTCCTCCAGCCTAGACAATGCCATAAATTAGAAACAATCACCTCATGCACTTCTAAAGTTCCAGGAACTATTAATAGCAATATGTGGCATATAACTGGTGTGCAAATACTTGGTGAGTAAATGAGAACTCATTTACATATAATCCCTTCAATTACATAAATATAATCCCTTCAATTATATTTTCCATATAGCTAAAAGCAGAAGAAATGGTATCAATACACAGAAGTTAAAGGGAGGATGATTTCTCCTAGGTATAGGGAAGTAAACAAACTGGGATGCTAAAATGGAATCCATGGCTTTGTGAGATGTCAAGGAAAGAACAGATAACCTATGAGGCATGTGACAGAGGGAAACTGCGAGTCATGGATCTCCTCGGTTACCACTTTCAATCTTTATTCCACTTCAGTCACACTTTTGTGTGTCTCAAAGTGTTGTGCAGCACTCACCTATGATCGTTATAGCTCAGCAATGGTGAATGCCCTTATCCACTCTGGGATCACAATCCTCTACCATTTTGGATAGCCATGTAATGCCCTCACTTCGTCATCCTTCAGAGGGATATCTAACTCTCTGCTTCATTTTCTCCCAATTCCATGGGCTCCCTTTGGGAGCCTCTTTGTTTCCCACTCTGGATCCCAGGATCAAATCTCTCAATCTGAGCAAATCTCTCCCTTTCATTACTGTTAGGAATCCTCACATACATTTATCACTGTACTACCCTTCCACAGTGTCTGCCTTTCCACCAGAGATAGTGAACTCCCTGAAGGGAAGGGCCGAGTGTTTTCATTTTTGGAGTTCGAAAGCTTAGAACAATGCCAGACACATAGCAGTCATGAATGACTAGTAACTGAATGAATTTTTATAACTCCTGCCTTTGCCAGCCCAGCAAACTCCAAGCCTGAATCAATGTTACATTTCATCTTTTCTGTGGAAAAAATAACATTGCTATGCAGCATGGCATCAATACAAACAATATCCTGCCAGTATGTCATCAGGGTCTGCTTCTCATCCCTTTAACCCGCTCTTGTTCAGCCTTTTTTTTTGAGACAGGATCTCACTCTGTCACTCAGGCTGGAGGGCAGTGGTGCAATCATGGCTCACTGCGGCCCTGACCTCCTGGGCTTAAGTTATCCTCCTGTCTCAGTCTTCTGAGGTGCTGGAACTATAGGCATGTGACACCAGGCATGTCTAATTTTTTTTTTTCTTTTTTTTTTTAGTTTTGTAGAGACAGGGTCCCACTGTGTTGCCCAGAGTGGTCTAGAACTCCTTGGCTCAAGTGATCCTCCCACCTTGGCCTCGAAAAGTGCTGGGATTACAGGGATGAGCCACCAAGGCTAGCTTTTGTTCAGCTTTATCTTAGGGCCACATGGCTCTTCCAAACATTTATCACTCTCCTTATCAACTCTCCTTAACCTTGGTCCTTCTAAATCTGAACGATGACTTTCATATTCTATGTCATACAGGAAATCAAGGTCATCAGTTAAGATGAGATCTCATTTCTGCTCAATCACCTCCATATTTACCCTTCCGAATACCTATATTTATCTTTACTCCATTTTCAGATAATGAGCTGTTCTTTACTCTTGCTCAAGGCCAGCCTCTCTATCTGCATTTGACCCTATGCCTTCTTCCTTTCTCTGAGAACTTACTCTATCAATTATGCTTTCTCCTGGGCTCATTCCTCATAATTATGATGAAACATTAAACTTTCTCCCAGCTTAAAACATACTTAATCCCAAGTCCTGCTTTATTTATTGTTTAATGTCTTCCTTCCCTCCTTACCTGAACTTCTTGAGAGGGTAGTTTACATTTCCTCCCCTCCCATTTATTTTTCAATCGATCACATATCTCTTTTGCCCCATCACATCAAAGAAACCACTCTTACCAGTCACCAATAATCTCCTATATTTAACAAACTCAAATTGATATGCTCAGTTCTATATGCAGACCAATCCTTCTACACAGAATACTTTGCCTGCTACCTGTAACATACTGTTTGCAATTCAGGTTGGCCATCACTCCCTCCAGGAAGCTTTTATCTGATTCCCCAAGTTAAGCTAGATGCCCTCTGCATGCTCCCAGAATATATATGCATGTACCTTTTTCTCACTGTACTGTACATTGTGGTCTAGAGGCCAATAACAACCACAGCATAATTATCTGCTGATGACCACTTAGAAGACAGGGCTATGAGTTACCGGGTTGGTCAAAAATTCAAGTTTGCTGTTGGGTGCAGTGGCTCAAGCCTGTAATCCCAGAATTTGGGAGGCCAAGGTGGGCAGATTGCTTGAGTCCAGGAGTTCGAGACCAGCCTTGGCAACATGGTGAAACCCTCTCTCTACTAAAACCTACAAAAATTAGCCGGGTGTAGTGGTACATGCCTATAGTCCCAGCTACTTGGGAGGCTGAGGTGGGAGAATCACTTGAGCCTGGGAGGCAGAGGTTGCAGTGAGCTGAGACTGTGTCACTGCACTCAAGCCTGGGCAACAGCATGAGACCCCATCTCAAAAAAAAAAAAAAAAAAAACCCCCAGGCGAGGTGGCTCAAATCACAGCACTTTGGGAGGCTGAGGTGGGAGGATTCCCTGAGGCCAGGAGTTTGAAACCAGCCTGGCCAACATGGTGAAACTCCGTCTCTACTAAAAATACAAAAATTAGCTGGGCAGGCCGGGCCTGGTGGCTCAAACCTGTAATCCCAGCACTTTGGGAGGCCGAGGCGGGTGGATCACGAGGTCAAGAGATCGAGACCATCCTGGTCAACATGGTGAAACCCCGTCTCTACTAAAAAATACGAAAAACTAGCTGGGCATGGTGGCGCCTGTAATCCCAGCTACTCAGGAGGCTGAGGCAGGAGAATCGCCTGAACCCAGGAGGCGGAGGTTGCGGTGAGCCGAGATCGCGCCATTGCACTCCAGCCTGGGTAACGAGAGTGAAACTCCGTCTCAAAAAAAAAAAATTAGCTGGGCATGGTGGTAGGCGCCTGTTATCCCAACTTCTTGGGAGGCTGAGGCAGGAGAATCACTTGAACCCGGGAGGTGAAGATTGCAGTAAGCTGAGATCACGTCACTGCACTCCAGCCTGGCCAACAGAGTGAGATTCCATCTCAAAAAAAATAAAATAAAATAAAAAAGTTTTGACAGGGATAGCTTTTGCTACATCTCTTTTTTATTCTCCAAAGTATCCTGGATTAGGTGATATAATGTATGGTCATCCTATCTATCACCCACTTTAAAGCCTCAGTGGCTAGTACAGTGCCAAACACAGTAGGTGATCAATAAAAGTTGTTGAGTAAGATGAGTACAAATTAGATGGTATCCTTTGCTTCTAACATTCCATTCAAGCCTGATGCTCTGACTGTAAACATAAAAACTAACTTGTTAAGTTTTACAATAGTGAATACTAGTGAAGTATTCACTGAAGTGAAAGAAACACAATCATTATAAAAGTAGTTAAGGGACAAAAACACAAACTTATATGAGATTATGTATTTTTCATGCCATAATAACCATAATGCTCACAAGTTTTCTAATCAGAATACCAATTAAAAAAATGAAACATCTAATAATCTCTTACTTTTCCAAAGGGCTAGTCATTTTTTTCAAGTTTCTGTGGAATCGTAAGGCTTGAATATCTTGTGTCTCTATTTTGGGAGGTAGAAGTCCTTGAAGACCAAGCATTTGTCGTTCTTGTAAAGTAAATGCCATTCCCTAAATAGGAGAAATGAAAGGATTAAAAATTACTTACAAGGGTAGCAATGACATTGTTCTTCAAAATGTAATTTAAATCCAAATTTGAAAAATCAATGACATATTGATTTTTGCCCAGGCTTTCAAAATTTTGTAAGACTGATGTTCAGTATGGGTCAGGGTGTGGAAAAAAATTATTCTCACAAAGCACTGCTGGGAATATAAACTAGTTTGGGCCTCTGGAAGACAGTTTTAAAGTATTCTTAAAAAAAATCTTTTTTTTTTTGAGATGGAGTCTTGCTCTATTGCCCAAATTGGAGTGCAGTGGTGTGATCTTGACTCACTGCAACCTTTGCCTCCCAGGTTCAAGCAATTCTCCTGTCTCCACCTCCCAAGTTGCTGGAATTACAGGCATGTGCCACCATACTCAGTTAATTTTTGTATTTTTAGTAGAGACGGGGTTTCACAATGTTGGCCAGCTTGGTCTCGAACTCCTGACTTCAGGTGATCCACCCATCTAGGCCTCCCAAAGTGTTGGGATTACAGGTGTTAGCAACCACACCCAGCCCACATTCTTAAAATTTTTAATGTACATATTATTTATCAAGCAATCTGACTTCCAGATAGCCATTCTAGAGAAACATTCTTAATAGAATACAGAGTCATATACAAAAAAATTTAGTTGTAGCATTGTTTCTAGTTCTCTTGGCTATTACAAACTAACAAACACCCATCAACTATGAAAGAGTTAAGCATCCTATGGTATATCTATACCATGAAATACCATAGAAAGGAGACAGAAGGAATGATGCTTAAGAAAAAATTAATCTATGTTGTAAGAAAAATCTTTAATTTCTGGAATCTGGCTGTGGGTTAAATTCTTCGTATCAAAGCAATGTCAGTGAAAATGCTGGGGTAAGGCCTTCGAAAAATCTTTTCCTCCATAAACACAAGAAACATCGGATAAATGATCAGAAGCAACTTCAACATTCTGGAAATTAACCAAAGTCACGTAGCAATCAGGGAGCAGTTACTCAGGAAAAATGGCTGGATTTCAGTACACAGCAAGCTTCATGACATTTTTAAACTGAAAACTAACACCTCACAATTACTGTGAAAATCATCAGCCTGGAAGCCATGGGAGGAAGTAGAAAGGGCTGTAGGTTCTTTTAAGCCCCATTCCAGAAAAATGTCATTATTTGGCTTGTCCGGTGTTTCCCTGGAAGACCCCACTAGCAAGGCTGTCTTCATTTGACCTAACTTGGAGCTCACCCAGTGTGAAAAGCCATTTCCTCAGAAGTGCTTGTTAGAAACAATCAGAGGCAATTATGCAATTATTTAGCATTGCAGCTGGCCAAGGCAGTGGGTAACAACTGAGGAAAACAATAGGGGAACCAAAAAGCTGAAAAGGAAAAGCTAAAGAAAGAGATGTCCACGGGGTTGGAGCTTTGAAAAGCTGTAAGGTATTACTGGGACTCTAGAAGGTCACATATATGAGCTGTTGACACATTCAGGGAAGATCTGAAAAGACCCTAAGCTCACACTGCTGGCTAACCTTGAGGCTCTGTGCAAGCAGCAAGTGAAGGCTTCTGGGTAGTTGTAAACTGCCTGGCTCAGTACTGGAGGTATGCCACAACATGCACACAGAGCTCCTTGACAAAGAATGGGAAATTTACTAGTTCCAAGCTTTTAAGTCTTTGTCTAATCATCAGCTGACTACTAAACTAAACAATCAGAGACTTTAGTGGGCATGTATAAGAATACAGACTTTATAAAAAATTAGTTTGGATGCCAGGCACGGTGACCCATGCCTGTAATCCCAGCACTTTAGGAGGCCAAGGTGGGCAGATTACCTGAGGTCAGGAGTTCGAGACCAGCCTGGCCAACATGGTGAAACCCCATCTCTACTAAAAATACAAAAATTAGCTGGGCGTGGTGGCACATGCCTGTGGTCCCAGCTACTCAGGGGGCTGAGGAAAGAGAATCACTTGAACCTGGGAGGTAGAGGTTGCAGTGAGCCAAGATTGTGCCATTGCACTCTAGCCTGGGCAAAAGGCTAGGGTGCAAAAAAAAAAAAAAGAAAATTTAAAAAAAGAAAGAAAATAATTAATTGGGAAATATTACTAAATAAACAAATATAGCAGAAATACAACAAGCCCTGGGAGGAGCATTTGATTTCCAGATCTGCCACATTATTTAAAATGTCTAGTTTTCAACAAGAAACTCCTTCAGAAAGCCTAAACATTGTACTTTATTAGATAAAGACTTTAAATTCACATCTTTGATTTCATTCAAGGAACTAAAAGACACCATGTCTAAAGAACTAAAGCAAAGTATGAGAATAATGTCTCACCAAATTGAGACTATCAACAAAGAAACTAAATAGAAATTCTGGAGGTGAAAGTACTATAAACCAAAAATAGAATTCTAAGGTCCCTCACCCACCTGAATGGACGTCCTCCTCGGCCAGGGCACTCTAACATTTAACCTGAAAGGACTGGTTTGGTTATGACGGGAATTGGGGGTCAGACATGCCTCACTGTACTCCTCCAGCATTAACATCAACAGACCTTAAGTCTGATAAGAAACATTTACAATCTATTCTCTCTGAAACCTGCTACCTGGAGGCTTCGTCTGCATGAAGAAACTTTGGTCTCCAATACCTCCTATCATAACCCAGACATTTATTTCTACTGATAATAACTCTTTCACCCAACTGCCAATAAGAAAAATTTTAAATCTATCTATAACCTGGAAGCCCCTGCTTCAAGTTGTCTTGCCTTTTTGGACTGAACCAATATATATCTTAAGCATACTGGATGTGTCATGTCTCCCTAAAATGTACAAAACCAAGCTGTGCCCCCACAACCCTGGGCACATATTCTCACACAGGCCACAGTCACTCATATTTAGCTCAGAATAAATCTCTTGAAATATTTTACAGAGTCTGAATCTTTTCATCAACAGCACAATAAATGAAATTTTAAAAATCTTTTCATCAAGTATAATAAATGAAATTTTAAAATTTTTCATTTTTTATTTAAACAGCAGATTTGAGCAACTGGAACAAAGAATCACCAAACTTAAAAATAGGTCACTCGCCAGGCGTGGTGGCTCAAGCCTGTAATCCCAGCACTTTGGGAGGCCGAGGCGGGTGGATCACGAGGTCAAGAGATCGAGACCATACTGGTCAACATGGTGAAACCCCGTCTCTATTAAAAATACAAAAAAATCAGCTGGGCATGGTGGCGCGTGCCTGTAATCCCAGCTACCTGGGAGGCTAAGGCAGGAGAATTGCTTGAACCCAGGAGGCGGAGGTTGTGGTGAGCTGAGACCGCGCCATTGCACTCCAGCCTGGGTAACAAGAGCAAAACTCTGTCACAAAAAAAAAAAAAAATATATATATATATATATATATATGTCACTAAAGATTATCCAGTCCAAGACAGAAAGAAAAAAAGAATAAAGAAACATAACTGCCAGGCGCAGTGGGTCATGCCTGTAATGCCAGCAACTTTGGGAGGCTGAGGCGGGCGGATCACAAGGTCAAGAGATTGACACTATTCTGGCCAATATGGTAAAACCCCATCTCTACTAAAAATACAAAAATTAGCTGGGCATGGTGGCACGTGCCTGTAGTCCCAGGTACTCAGGAGGCTGAGGCAGGAGAATTGCCTGGACCCCGGAGGCAAAGGTTGGAGTGAGCCGAGGTCGCACCACGCATTACAGACTTCCTTGGCTCATCTTTTAATCAAACAATTGTACACTTTTACAGTTGTTATCATAATAAACCTCACCTGAATCCTTCCCAAATTTCCTGTTTGAGAACTCTACCCTGTGGAAGCATTATTAAAGTGTAAAAGAAAGTATCACTTATATCTACCTCTAAAAGCTTTAAATTCACACTAAAAAGGAATAGCCAATTCATTTATTATGCATTTTCTCATCTCTATGATTCGACCAAATATTTATTTACTGGTACTCATTTCATACTTTAAAGCACATGTTATCTATATCTTTAAGCCTTGTACAAATCTAAACAAGACATATCTTGAGAGTAATAGAAATAATCTGAGACTAAAACAACTTTTCTGACTCTTTAATACTGATTTGGGTTTATGATGAGAAATGGAAGACAGAAGGCAAATGATTCAGGAGACAGAATCCATTTATATGAAAGAGATAAAATGCATTCCTTTAACCTCAGTGTGGATAGGCACTATGTAGCCAGTGCCTCACTAGCATTCAAATGCTTGTTTAGATTTCTGAAAATGTGTTAACTGAGATGAACTTGCACTAAAAAGGGAAAATTATAACTAAGTGGAAAGCTCTGTTCATCACAAATTCACAACTATTCACATCACGTGTTCTATGGCTTATGTTGTTTTGGTTTAGGAATTAGGTCTTAATAAATACATTTGAAATAAAATATACTTATTGAATTAGTCCTTTCTCATACTGCTATGAAGAAATACCAAGACTGGGTAATTTATAAGAAAAGAGGTTTAATTGACTTACAGTTCCACATGGCTGGGGAGACCTCAGGAAATTTACAATCAGGGTGAAAGGCCCCTCTTCCCAGCGTGGCAGAAGAGAGAATGAGTGATGAGGGAAGGGGGAAGTCTCTTATAAAACCATCAGATCTTGTGAGAACTCACTCACTATCATGAGAAGGGCATGGGAGAAACCGCCCCCACGATTTACTTATCTCCACCTGGTCCTACCCTTGACACGTGGGAATTACTAAAATTCAACATGAGATTTGGGTGGGGACACAGAGCCAAACCATATCACTCAACTGAAAACTTTGTAATGTAATTTAAAATTATTCTTACTTTTTTTCCCTTCTTATTCTTTTTTTAAAAAGCTGCATAACTTAATTTTTAAGACTTTGTAAATGAAATGAGCTTAAGAAAAACACACAAAAATGAAAAAGAAACACATAAATCAGTACACTGGGAAAAGAGGTGTGAATACAGCTGTTTCCTAACTTGTTTTACAAGAGTAGATAACAAAACTCCTACCTAATCCAAACTTCTTTTCTGGAAACAAAACCCATGTTTAATGATCTGTGAAATCCTGCAGCACCAATCATGTCAGATTTTGTTTTCCTATGTGCTCATTTGTTCATGCATTCATTCATTTATCCAGCATGTACTGAGGCTCTGTGTGTGCTAAGTACTTTGGGGTAAGATACTGAGGATACAGACTAAGATATGGTCCTTGTCCTCAAGACAGGAATGAGATAATTCCAACTGAGTATGATAAATGATAATGACAGAGGTGAGCACAAGAATGCTCTAAGAACAGCCAGGGGAGTAACTCAGCCAGTGTGGTGAGGAAGTAGGAAAAACGGTCAGTAAAAACTTCCTAGAGCAGTGGTCCCCAGCCTCTTTGGCACCAAGTAACCAGTTTCATGGAAAACAATTTTTTTAAAGACAGGCTCTCACTCTGTCACCCAGGCTGCAGTGCAGTGGCACGCTCTCACTGCAACCTCTACTTCCTGGGCTCAAGTGATCCTCCAGAGCAACTGAAACTACAGGCACACACCACAATGCTTGGCTAATTTTTTGTATTTTTGGTAAAGACACCTGTAATCCTGGCACTTTGGGAGGCCAAGGTGGGCAGATCACAAGGTCAAGAGATCGAGACCAACCTGGCCAACATGGTGAAACCCCGTCTCTACTAAAAATAAAAAAATAAAAAAAATTAGCTGAGTGTGGTGGCATGCACCTGTAATCCCAGCTACTCGGGAGGCTGAGGCAGGAGAATCACTAGAACCTGGGAGGTGGAGGTTGCAGTGAACCGAGATTGCACCACTGCACTCCAGCCTGGTATCAGAGAGACTCCATCACATTAAAAACAAAACAAAACAAAACAACTCTTCCCAGAATTGTTTACTTATTATTTAATATTGCCACTAAAAAACAGATAGGCACTTGTCCACTGAACCAAACACAGATAAAGGAGGAAGTAATGACTGGATCTCAATATTGTGTATCACTTTTGTCCCAAGAGTGTAATAAAGAGTCAGAGGTCTCTCTCCTTCGAAGCAGGCATCTAACCACTGTAATTAATGGATAAAATTTTCTGTGTGCAATCGTTTGTGTCCAAAAAGATAGGTGGAGGTGGGGTGATGTGCACTTTACATAAAGGTTCATGTCACAATTTTGACCCTACCTTCCAAGAGCCTGATTGGCTCAGGGTGAGTACCTGATGTGAGCTGGGGAAATGTAAATATCTCACAAGTGGCCCCAAGTCCCAACCAAAACACTATTCTGGGATTTTTTATTTTTAAAGCTATAACTAGAAAGCAAAGTCAATCCTTTTCTGGTGGTAAAAGTTAGGAGGCTGAAATTGAGGAAGTATAAAGCAACCATGATTTTGCCATGTGGAGAAGTGTGAAAAGTTCATGTAAACAAGTATCTGAACAGCATTAGTATAAAGCTACAAAAATATGTCACCTCTTATCACTCTAAACTATATCAAACCTTTACCAGAAAGAGAGAAAGTGTACACTGGTATTAATGTTACTACGTTACTAACCTTGTTTGTTCTTGGATTCAGCATAAGCGGCTTGCCTTTTTCTTTTATGTGCAAATGTCGACATGCCACAGTACAAGTGGTGGAAACTGCTCTTAACCGGGACAACATCTTTTCTTTCACCTGAGACAAACGAAGCAAATAAACCACTGATAAGAATCATATTAAAGACCTGCACGTCCATCAGGTATCGGTTTTCAAAACACGTTTATGTTTCCACAGGCTCCAACAGCTTTAAAAAGGTAACAGTAAGGTGAAGGTGAAAACTTAACGTTTTCTGATAACACTTAAGTTCTCGGGAAATAATCACTGCTACTCTTTATGTACCATCTACTATGCATCAGACACTGCAAAAACATTGAACCTCTTTCTAGCCACACAAGTGTGGCAAGGTATGCATCTCCCACTTGTGAGAGAAACAAATTAAGAGGTTAAGAAACAAGGTAACATAGTAAATGGCAAAGTGAGTTCAATTTTAATAAGTGAGAGTTTAGCTTAAAGGTGGAAAAGTAAATAGGAAGGTAGAGACACACACACAGTCAAAGGAAGAAAAACTATCTTGATTCTTAATCTAGACCTAGAATTTTTTTTTTTTTTTTTTTTTTGAGACGGAGTTTCGCTCTTGTTACCCAGGCTGGAGTGCAATGACGTGATCTCGGCTCACCGCAACCTCCGCCTCCCGGGTTCAGGCAATTCTCCTGCCTCAGCCTCCTGAGTAGCTGGGATTATAGGCACGCGCCACCATGTCCAGCTAATTTTTTGTATTTTTGGTAGAGACGGGGTTTCACCATGTTGACCAGGATGGTCTCGATCTCTTGACCTCGTGATCCACCTGCCTCGGCCTCTCAAAGTGCTGGGATTACAGGCTTGAGCCACCGCGCCCGGCCTAGACCTAGAATTTTAATGCATGATGTTTGATGTCTGATGTTTAAATTTAATGTATTAGAATTTCTGTCTTAGAAAACCAGTTATTTAATATAAACAAATCATATAGTTGGCTAGAAAACATATAAAGTAATTGTCCCTTTGCATCCATCATAAACATCAGAATTTTTAAAGGGAAAACTATATATTAAATCTAACTATTTAGTGATAATAGATTCTTCTGCTTACCATTTATCTCACCAAAAATCAGAATTTGAAATACCCATTTATTTCTTTAAACATTACAAGTCATTGCAATGATTATGCTGATAAGATTTTTCAAATGGAGTTTCTAATTGTGGAGAAATCCATGATCTGTGTATGAGGGGGCAGCAAAACCATTTACGTAAGGCTTTTTTTTTAAAATTTGAAACTCATATAACATAAAATTAACCATTTTAAACTGAACAATTCAGAGGCGTTTAGAAAATTCTTTTAGTTGTACAACCACCACCTCTATCTAGTTCCAAAATATCTTCATCACCCTAGAAGGAAACACCATACCCATTAAGCAGTTATTCCCCACTCCTCCTTTTGGTTCTTTAAAAGTTTTATTGTAAAGAAACTATCATGCCTATGTTGTGTATACACACACACACATACGGTGGGGGGGGGGAGGGCGTTGTTCAGTGGCAGTGTAATTTCTGGATTACTTTTACAGATATTTAATCAAGCGGTCAGTAAGAACTTCATAAAAGGGTTTTTTTTTTTTTTTTGAGACCGACTCTCACTTTGTAGCCTGGAGCGCAGTGGCACTATCTCAGCTCACTGCAACCTCCACCTCCTGGGTTCAAGTGATTTTCCTGCCTCAGTCTCCTGAGAAACTGGGACAACAGGTATGCACTGCTGCGCCCAGCTAATTTTTTATATTTTTAGTAGAGACGGGGTTTCAGCATATTGGCCAGGCTGGTCTTGAACTCATGATCTGCCCTCCTTGGGCCACTGTGCCTGACCAAAAAAGGGATTTTTTTTTTTTTTTTTTAGATGAAGTCTCATGCTGTTGCCCAGGCTAGAGTGCAGTGGCACAATTTTGGCTCACTGCAACCTTCACCATCTTCCCAAATTCAAGAGATTCTTCTGCCTCAACCTTCCAAGTAACTTGGATTACAGGCACCTGCCATCATGCCTGGCTAAGTTTTTTTTTGTATTTTCACCATGTTGGCCAGGTTGCAGGCTGGTCTCGAACTCCTGACCTCAGGTGGTCTGCCCACCTCAGCCTCCGAAAGTGCTGGGATTACAGGTGTGAGCCACTGCACCCGGCCAAAAAGAGATGTTTTAAACGTGTTGCTGATAACTTATTCCTGGACACTGAAACACTCCAGTTTGCAAGTAACTGTGCTGAAGTTGTTTTCTGCCTCCCATACCATTTTCATCCACCAACCTCTGAAATGAAGTGTGATTTGCTATTTCAAGTCCACTTACAGGAGGCTTAGAGTTTCATCAACACATCCATGTATAGATGGTAAACCTGATATTAAACATGACACAGTCAGGTTTGGAAGTTCTTCAACATTGCCAAGAATGTTTCGCTCACATTAAATAGTCATGGCTGCAATTAAACTGTAAATTAAAGCATGGAGGCCAGGACATAATGAAAAGCATGTGTGAAAGATTAAAAGGTTTCCTGTTCTCTGTCAAAAAAGTGAAAAAAAACACGGTATAGGCAGCCAGGCCAAGATAGTAGGGATGATTCTGTTCACAGCTATAGGGAAGAAATTTAAGAATTAATTGTGGGCCTTAAGAAAACACTGACAGGCCGGGCGCGGTGGCTCACACCTGTAACCCCAGCACTTTGGGAGGCCGAGGCGGGCGGATCACGAGGTTAGGAGATCAAAACCATCCTGGTTAACATGGTAAAACCCCATCTCTACTAAAAGTACAAAAAATTAGCCGGACGTGGTGGCACACGCCTGTAATCTCAGCTACTGGGGAGGCTGAGGCAGGAGAATCGCTTGAACCTGGGAGGCGGAGGCTGCAGTGAGCCAAGATTGCACCACAGCACTACAGCCTGGGTGACAGAGTAAGACTCCATCTCAAAAAAAAAAAAAAAAAAAAAATAGTAAACACTGACAAAGAATGTAGAAAATGGAAGGAGCAGAAAGAGCAAGAGGAAAAGCCACCAGGAGAAAGTCTTCAATGTATTGTTCAAAAAATGCCTTAATTTTCTGACTATGTTGTCAGTAGAATAAAACCAGAAAATCACACATAGGAGATTTGAGACCCTTTTAAGAAATATTTTGAGCTGTTCAAAAGAGAGTAAGACAGAAAATTAACCAGTACCAGAGCCTACACAAACCTTCTGAGTCAAACACAAGCAAATTACTTCCTCAGTCACCAAGGCTGACTATTGGGGAGGCATCAAACTCTAACAACTTCCTGATAGTGTTTTCAGGGGAAAGGTAATACAAATTACTGAAATTATGTATTTTACTCATCTGAATGGTCTTATTATTCATTAAGTAGGTGCTACATCATTATCCTCATCCTTTTTCATTGCTGCATTTCTATTATCATAGTCATGAGAGAATAGCAAAAATAACCATGATGAAAGATAAGTGTTCAGGTTATCCTTCTAGAAATTAATTTATGCTACCATCTTGATGTTTTAAGTTCAAAATGCTATAAATAGTCCATATATATATTCTTTATTACTATTATTCTGTATATAGTCTATTACTATTATTCTGTATATTCATGTTTATTATTATTTTTGAGATGGAGTCTCACTCTGTCACCAGGCTGGAGCGCAGTGGCACAGTTCAAGGGGAACCCAGGAGGGAGGCTGCCTCAGGCTCCGGAGTAGCTGGGACTACAGGTGTGCATCACCATGCCCAGCTAATTTTTGTTATTTTTAGTACAGACAGGGTTTCACCATGTTGGCCAGGATGATCTCAATCTCCTGACCTCGTGATCTGCCTGCTTTGGCCTCACAAAGTCCTGGGATTACAGGCATGAGTTTTAATCCTTCACTTGTCTATGGCAACAAGAGTCTTCTGCTATTTTAGCCTATTTATGGGTGTGAATTCCTTTGGGGATCATGCAGGACTAGATCTGTGCCATTTAAAAAGACGACACTCAGGTCTATGGTACTTTGAACCTGTAAAGTTACCTCTGGGACTTTCCACGAAAAAGGCCTATTGGCTTAGGTGTTTAGGGAATAAATTAATTGGCTTATTATTTTATAAGAAGTATTGAGTTCAAGTATTCAAGCAAATTTAAAGGGTAATTTTTACTATACTTTTCACTTCATTACTCCACTGAATTGTTCTTAGAATAAAAAAGTAGCATTATTTTTGGTCCATTTATAGCACAGGTCTAAAGCTGCAGATGATACAACCATCATCTAGAAAATCTGAGACAATCAACTGAAAAAAAACACTAGAACGAATAAGAAGACTTCAGCAAAGTAGCTGAGTATATCAGCAATAATAAATTAAGATATATAATAGAATTAAAAATTCTACTTATGGACGGGCGCGGTGGCTCAAGCCTGTAATCCCAGCACTTTGGGAGGCCGAGACAGGTGGATCATGAGGTCAAGAGATCGAGACCATCCTGGTCAACATGGTGAGACCCTGTCTCTACTAAAAATACAAAAAAAATTAGCTGGGCATGGTGGTGCGTGCCTGTAATCCCAGCTGCTCAGGAGGCTGAGGCAGGAGAATTGCCTAAACCCAGGAGGCGCGTTGTGGTGAGCCGAGATCGCGCCATTGCACTCCAGCCTGGGTAACAAGAGCGAAACTCTGTCTCAAAAAAAAAAAAAAAATTCTACTTAAAATACTAACACAAATTATCAAATACCTAGGAATACACCAACAGAGAAACTAATAGACATTAAGGAATCCTAAATATATGATCAGAAATACCCATTTCTGGATGGGAATAGTCAACAGTAAAAATATTAGTTCCCCTCAAACAATCCACAAAATACAATCCTAAGGCAATTCCAATAAAAATTCTAAGAATATTTACAGAGCTTTTTTTTTTTTTCTTTTAGAGACAAGGTCTCAATCTGAGCCCAGGCTGGAGTGCAGTGGCACAATCATAGCTCACTGCAGCCTTGAAATTTATGGAGCTTTAGACTCAGCTTAATTATATAGCTGAAAGAGCAAATGTCAGAAAATCCAAGAAATTTTTGAAAAAGAAGAGGTTGAAGGATTTGCCATTAGAGTTAGCAAAACATAAATTCCAAACAGATT